AGTGTTTTGTGCACCACTTGGGAGAGGGTGTCTAGCTTAAGCCCTGTGACAAAGATCTACTGGGCACAATGGGACCAGTTGAAGCTTGAAGATCGTATTCTTATCCAGAGATGGGAAACTGCAGATGGGAAAGTGACGAACTGGCAAACAGTTATACTGAGAAAGTTACAGGAAGTTGTGCTGCATCAATCCCATGATAGTTTAACAGGAGGACATCTTGGAGTTAAGAAGACATTGAGTCACCTACGACAGAGATTTTACCTGGATAGGTATGAGGCAAGATGTGGAAGAATGGTGCAGGACCTGCAGTACATGTTGTGCTAAAAGGGGACCCAAGCATAAGGGACATGCTCCAATGAAGTTATATCAAGTTGGTGCACCAATGGAAAGAGTAGCCGTTGACATTGCTGGTCCTTTGCCCGAAACTCGTGCAGGAAACAAGTATATTTGTGTGGTGATGGATTATTTCACCAAGTGGCCTGAGGCATATGCAATACCAAATCAGGAAGCTACAACTGTAGCTTCGGCTATTAGTGATTTCTTTTTCAGGTTTGGTATTCCATACAAACTGCATTCTGATCAATGCCGTAACTTTGAATCAGCTGTGTTCCATGAATGCTGCAAGTTGTTTGGCAAACAAAAGACCAGGACAATGCCACTTCACCCACAGTCTGATGGGATGGTAGAAAAGTACATTTAGACACTGGGACAGAAATTGGCAAAATTTTGTAATAGCCACCAAGATGACTGGGATGTCTTACTCCCTCCACTGTTGATGACCCATAGAACAGCAGAGCATGAAGCCACTGGATACACTCCAGCAAGGCTGATATTTTGTCGGGAACTTTGGTTCCCAGTGGATCTGATAACAGGACACCCACCTTATGAAGAGTTGCCTGAAAATGTGGCAGAGTTCGTGAAAGTATTATCTGAAAGGATGGATGATATTCATCATCAAGTGCATTCAAACTTAAAAATGTCTGCGATTCCATGAAGCTATGTTATGATAAGAAATCTACTGAAGTCAGCTTTGTACCAGGAGACAAGGTGTGGTTGTATAATTCCAGGAAGACCAAAGAGAAGTCTCCTAAGTTGTCTTCTTCATGGGAAGGCCCACATGACATAGTGGACTGTCTCTCAAACGTAACTTTTTGAATAAAATGTGGTCGGCGAGGTAAGCCAAAGGTGGTGCTGCCCAACAGGCCTTGGCGTTATCACGGTTCAGGACATTTCAGTTGGAATGAAATGAGCAACAGAACAAATGACGCTGCTGAAGATGTGTCACCTGAAAAAAAACCACTGTTGAAGAAGAAACTCTACCCGGTTTTGAGAAGGAAAACAGTGAAGCCGTTAATGAAGTTACTACCACTGATGTGACTGCTACCGATAATGGGACATTTCCTGATGGAGCAGATGAATCCCCGTAAAGAAGAAGCCAATGAGATGGAGAAGAAACTTTCTGTAAAATTAAGAGACTTTGTTGTATTTGAATTTTGTGTTTGTAAATTCTGTACATTTAATTAAGTTATTGTTAATTATCTATTGGTTTACTGTAAGTGGCTATTGTTCGGGACGAACAATACTAGGGAAGGGGCAGTGTTATACGACAGCGAAAGTCACGTGATGCTGGTAACATGTGATGAATTTCTCGAATGTTCATGAATTATCGGGAAAGACCGAATTTGTTCAAGATGCCCTCTTTTTTAGTATATAAGTCTGGCAGAGAAAGCCTGCGGGATTGAATGAAGAGAGTTCGGGGTAATTTACGATTCTGTTTCGAGCTAGTGCGTATTTTCGAGATTGTGAATCGCTGTGATTTATAGAGTGTTATAAAAGTAGTTAAGTTTAAAGTGACAAGAAACATACTGACTATGGAATTACTGGGTATTAAAAGTTTGTATCAAGGAAGAATAAACAGGAAGAATAAAAGCAACTTTTCACAATACCAAAATTTTAAATAAAAAGTAAAGAAAACTAATTCAGTAGTATAATGGAAAATGTCGACAAATCTGGGAGCAAAAACCAGCAATGCCTGTACAGTACTACTGCCAACTGAGAAGTGATTAAGGAGTGCAGATGTGAAAAGTGTGCTGGTTGTGATAGGAGTGGTGTCTTACTCCTATTGGTGGAGAGATGCTGCATGATCATTTACATGTGGATACACAGAAGCACAAGGTAGAAGGTTAATGGTATGTGTTGAAAAATTCTGCCGATAGAGGGCAGTGCTAGTAAAAAAGTTATTTTGTGTGAAGAAGATATTGTATCAAAATTTTATCACATGAATTTAGGTGGGAGTTGCCTTAAGGCTAGTTGCATGCAAATATCTATGGCAAATGTGCAAAGAAGATAGCTAAACTGTGTGAGGGGTGAGATACTGTCTCAGAACTACTGCATACCCAGAGTTGCCTATTTGGTGGAGTGCTGATTCATCACCACTTGTGACATTTTTCATACCATTCAATAAAACTACATAATTTGAGTTCTAGTAGATGCATGTATCTTACCAAAATGAACAGTACAGTAAACTACTGCATTGTCTGTAGCTCATTTTTGTGGGGATGCTGATTCCTGCCATTCTCGGGTGGCACTCTTTTACCAGAATTCTGGCGAGCTTGTCCCTTTCTATTTGTGTTTTATTTTTTTACCATGCAGGTTTTAAACTGAATATCAAATTTTGGATAGCAGCACATGTATTACTTTGTATATTTAATTGGCATCCAACACAGAGTATAATTTGAAAAACGAATGTCTAAATTATTTTATACTAAAGTAATACATGTGTCACATTTTACTTTTTAATAAAGGTTACATTTCGTGAACATTTCTCACGTTGTTGTTCTAAAGAAAACTAACAACACAAAATCACATATAGAGAACATTCTGCCTAGGACATTTTCAAACAATACATCAAACAAGCTTACATGTTTTAGGTGATAAGTAGGTTACCATGTAAATGATTCAAATTTTATTATGGTGACTCAAAGTAAAAGATATCAAGAGGCAAATTGTAACACAGCAAAAATGAGGGTGTCATAAGCCTATGTGACTGTTTATTTGAATAATAACTGACCTAGTGGTGTTAACACACTCCAAGTGCCCTGACAGGTAAACCAGCACTTCTGTAATTTGTGACACTGAACAAATTAACCTTTAGTTTTAAAATGTACTGATTGTCATACTACTGCGATTCAGTGTAATGAAAACAAAGCACGAGATATATTCATTGCACATAAATCACTACCAAAGCTCTTTCAGAAGGTAGGACTTTCTTTTGTCAGGGGTGAACATATAATGGATATTTGGGGTTAATGTGCTGATTTTTCCAAGGTCAGTCATATGCAATAACAAACTGATTTATATTTATACCAACTGTACAAACAATTTGTAACAGGAGTAAATATTTCATAACTGTAGGTTTTTTATTGAAATATTTTAAATCATAAACCCTACATTTTTATTCAAAATATAATGTTTAATCAGTTTGATTAACAACATCAACAAAACACTGTCTAATGATTCTCATTTTTTACGCCTATTCCTGCAAAACACCAAAAATTTATGACGATGGTTTCAAAATAAAACAAATACTTTGTAATAAAAACCTAAAACTTACTTTTTCTGGTCGTTTGCTAGCTTCAGCAATTTTGGAAATGGGTAGTGCTGATGTGTTGGATGCAAAAATGCAATGGTCAAGTATGCTCTGTTCTACCTCCTTTAGAACTATATGTTTGATTTCAATATCTTCAAAAACTGCCTCTATGACTATATCACAATCCTTAAATTTGGAATAATTGAGAACTGGCTCAAGGTTGGACAAGAAGCGTTCCTTTTCAAACCTGTAACAGATTACCTTTTGTTACTGCGTCATATATATGCAATATGGGATGTCAGTCAGACTTCTACAATGTAAAAAAATAAATAAAAACACAAAATAGCTCCCCCAAATAAAGAAGCATTAGATTTCACAAAACATAAGTATGGATCAAGATAAAAATCTTGTGGTTATCCAGTTGCTTTTCATGTTGTTCAACCTTTTACAGACCAATATCTTGTGGTTATCCAGTTGCTTTTTATGTTGTTCAACCTTTTACAGACCAATATCTTGTGGTTATCCAGTTGTTTTCATGTTGTTCAACCTTTTAAAGACCATTATCTTGTGGTTATCCAGTTGCTTTTCATGTTCAACCCTTTACAGACCAATATCTTGTGGTTATCAAGTTGCTTTTCATGTTGTTCAATCTTTTACAGACCTATATATTGTGGTTATCCAGTTGCTTTTTATGTTGTTCAACCTTTTACAGACCAATATCTTGTGGTTATCTAGTTGCTTTTCATGTTGTTCAACCTTTTACAGACCAATATCTTGTGGTTATCCAATTGCTTTTCATGTTGTTCAACCTTTTACAGACCAATATCTTGTGGTT